GCATTATGAGGCTAGCGCGCCTGTCCCGCGATCCTCCACACCTGTTAGTCCAACTGACGGCCGACACGTTGTCTCCACGCATCAACACCGACTGTCCTTCTATAGGTCTGTCTTTCAAGATCATTTGAACTACCCACGCCGTCATGAACATGCCCGCGAGTTCTAACAGATTGATCGTAATATCTGCCGTCTCCTTCTCTTGCGCCTTGCGCTTGAGCTTCGCAGACAACGATTATTCGATCGTGTATCTCCAGAAACTCTTCAGTTCGGGACAGTAGCCGCCAATCGCTGTGAAGCTAGCGTCTGAGAGGTAAAGGCGTGAAGGTGCTCGTTTTACGTGGAGTAGGAGCGATGCGCTGAGGGACTCCCCTCGAAGTGCCAGTGGCTGATTGAGGACCCACTTCCAGAAGGCGATATCGCCCTGGAACTCTGTACCCAAGTCCACTAGTCGTCGTGACCGTGTGTGTCGACTGGCTTGCGTATGCAGACCCGATAGGCGGAGCAGTTGCCACACGAAGTACCTACCAGCCCTGATAACATAAGTGAGGTTCCACAGTTTTCCTGCATTGCTGAGGACTTCTTGAACACTGGCCTGCTTCCTATCGTGGGGCCAATCTGCCTCTAGTATGTTCCGAATCGCGCTTACCCGTTCGGGTGTAGTTGCAATTCTGCCACCATGCGTGTCTATGATGTACCCCAGGGCCTCTATGACCGTGTCCCAGTCAGTGCTCTTTTTTGGGGCGAGAATGGGGGTTTCTCCGACTTCTCCTTTGCCAAACAGTCTGACATGGTCTGACGCTAGCGAGGCGGAAGCAATGAGTGCCGATTGGTCAGTGGGGTCATGCTGTACCTTCGTGTGCAAGAAATCGTCAACGGAGACCCTGGCCAAGAAATCGTCCGCGGGTCCCCCGCCTCGGTCTGACGCCTGCCGACGATGGTATTGTTGTTGGGGTGCCTTTTTCCCAACGAGGTTTGATTTTCACGTGGGACATTTTTGCGATTCCTTCTGGTAGTAGTCTAGCGTTCGCGAGGGACGTGTTGCGGTGCGAGTGCTCTGCAGCGGAGGCTAACACACCCCACAATCCTGGTGACGCTGCCCAGCCAAAGGTCAGCCAAAGGTCCGCTACAAGCACGTCTACTATCACGTAGCAAAACTTGTGTGCATGATCTGGTGATATCCTCACATTTCTGAACGCAGAGGTAACATCAGCCTTGGCTGCGAGGATTCTCTTGTCGGGCCATCTTACTCGTAGGCTAGTAAGCTCCTCGAGGAAAGCTGGTAGTGCTTCGCCGCACAGGCAACGTGGAACTCCAGACATAATGGTATCTTTGTTGAGCCCACCTTTTGACCCTTTGCGGCTTGGGTCAAAAGAGAAGTCGTTGATGGTCCTTACTTTTTTCCCTGGGACCGCTCCCAACGGGGCTACTCTGATCTCACGTACGTCCGACGCGTTTGCTTTCTCAGGACAATACACCTGTTACGCTTAACATCGCCGCATAGTTTTTCCCACAGTTGTATTTGGTGATCGCCTACGCTGTGGTGGTTGCCGTATGCCAAGGCTTTCTTGAGGTTTTGCTGCGAGTCTAGAGTGGGGGCCGGGGCTCCTTCACCGACTATCTCAATGAGGTCATCGATACCCGGGAAGCCCTTCTCCTCTCCGAAATATTGCTTGACGTCGCTCACGTCCAACGGCGGTGACACCGGAGTGCCGCCGAATCCCCTCGCGAGTCTCCCAGCCTTCCATCGTAGAGCTTTGCCAAATCACTACCAATGTCCGCCATCTTCCGAATGATACATTGCTTCTCGTCTAGAGAGTGTATGCTTGACGCGTATGCTTCTTTGTACCTCGAGTCTATCGGTCAGAGTTTTTGAATTTTTCAACAAGGTTGTATTCTTAGACTCTCTAGGGCCGAAGGTTCTTTCCCCGCCCCAAAGTGAGAACTCTCATGTCGCATTACTTTTGTGATGTCAGCGGCCCTAGCCGTGTCCGCCGCTAGTACCCTACGTGCCAACAGTGCTTCCACCGGGGTGTCCGCCCCCGGGAGAGCTTTTGACACGGTCATGGTGTCCGCCAATTCCGTGTCGTTCCAGCGAACGGTGTCCGCCAATCGGGGCGGTGTGACTGACAAATTCTTCAACAGGGTGTCCGGCCTGTGTATGTCCTTCTGCACACTACTGGTGTCCGCCAGTATTTTTTGTTTACCGACAACGCACGCGGCGTCCACCGCTTGCGTGCCGCGGGGCCAATTACATTCGCCCGGGGTGTCCGCCCCCGAGGCGACTGCATTGCAGCGTTCAGCACGTGTGGTGCCCGCCACAGTCTTCGTGGTGTACAAGGCAGAACAGTAATTGATCCCGCTACGGGTGTCCGCCAATAGGTATTCCGTCAGTGAGTTTTTCGCGGGAACGGCGTCCACCATTTGCGAGAGGGAGGGTAATGCATGTTCACACCGGGTGTCCGCCCGGTGCGTGTCAGTATTCGCACAATTGGTGTCCGCCAATAGTTTTGACTTATCTATTACCCGTGCGGTGTCCTCCGCTTGTGTGTTATTTGACCCGTACATAGCGCCGAGGGTGTCCACCCCCGTAGCTACTGTTTTCGACGTTTCGACGTGAGTGGTGTCCGCCACCATGCAAGGCGAAAACGAATCCAAACAGTTAACAGTATGGGAAATTGCAGGTTCGCAACTCATGCTCTCACCGTAAAACACAGCGGATGCCGCCGACCCGAGAAGGGGAACTCCCACGCTCGCTACTGTCCTTCTGCTGTCCGCGAAGGCGTTCGCTCCCGTGCCAAGCTCGCCGCCCCTCCTGGTCGGCCCCACCTCGTGGAAGTGGGGCCCGCACCGTCACGGATTGGTACCGCCACGGCCTCCTCCCGCGCTTCCTCCACCTCATCCTCCTCCCGCTGCTCCTCTTCGCGAGCCGCCTCCGTGGCTGTACCTCGCGACTGGTGCTTGTGTCGCTNCTGCTGGGTGTGCCCCTTCTCGCACCTAGGGCGTGTGCAGGTCGTGCCCGACCACGTGTAGAAGCACTTGTTGTCGGGAGTGTGACAGGCGGCGACGGTCTGTGCAAGCGCGGTGGCGGCTGCCGTGGAAGCGGATGGGACTGGGGCAACGGGGGTGCGTGCAGGTTGACCCTGCGAAGTAGCCTTGCGCTTGGTGCTCGC